GCCCAATAAAAAACTTCTGTCTACTGGACAACCGAACCCGTGTCTGTCGTTTTCTGACAACACCAAGTGGTACGATTGGAGTGATGGGGCTGGGGGGACATCCCCTAACTTCCCTTCACCTTCCATTTTCTCTGGTTAAATAGTATGGCCCAGGCTGGCTCAAACCAGCAAGGCTCCAAATCTTTTGCTCCCCACCCCATATTACTTATGGATCTGCTGAGTGTCTAGCAGAGAAAAACATGGAAAATGCAGAGGAAGAGGAAGAGGAGAAGGGGAATGAAATTGTGTATCTTCTAGGAAGGTGTGGCTGGTTGGCCAGTCCCATGAAAAACACTTGATCCCATTCTTAATTTAATTTAAATTTTTAATTAAAGTTGTTCAATTTAGGTGCTGCCTGACTCTAGACAACTCTGGGCAGCTCATAATATAACAAACCATAAAATGTTATATGAATAATATAAAAAGGAATAAAGAACAAGATCATGGTCCACCCAACAAGACACCAAAAAGCGTCCCATAAGGGCTCCATCCATCTACCCGAGCCCAAAGCCTGGGAGAGCAGCCAGATCTTCATGGCTTTCTAGAATGCCATCAGGGTGGGAGCCATCTGGATCGAGGGGTGAGCTCATTCCAGAGGGCAGGTGCTCTGGCAGAGAAGGCACACTTCCTGGTTCTTGAAAGATGACATTGTTTAATTGAGGGGACCTGGAGTGTGCCCATTCTGCTGTATCATACTGGATGGGCAGAAACTGTAGAAGACAGGCTGTCCCCAAAGTTTGTGGGCCATATGCCATTTAGGCTCTAAGGTAATAACTAGCACCTTGAATCACACCAGGAAGCACCTTGGGAACCAGTGCAGCTCACGGAGCAGGGGTATCAGATGGGCAAACCAGGTATACTGCCTGCCCCGTTGCATTTTGGACCCATTGAAGCTTCTGAGTGGTCTTCAAGGGCAGTTCCATGTAGAGCGCACTGCAGTAGTCAAGCTGTGAGATGGCAAGAGTGACTATCTGAAGGGTCTTCCAATCCAGGAAAGGGCACTCACAACACATACATTGGATGTATATGCAGAAATACTTGGTTTCTGATGCTTGCTCTGATGTGACTCATCCTCAATTACCTGTAATCATCCAATGCTCAATATTTACATGACTGAAACAGTTGTTGTTACTGTGATTTTCGGACCCCCTTAAAGATATAATTACAAGCTCACAGAAAGGAGAAACTGCCTATGGGGATCCAAACGGCCTCCGGAAGTCTTAGCTTGGTATTTGGAGGAGGAAATGGCTGGAGGATGGACTCCTAGAAGACATGGTTGCTGGTTTGTCCAGAAATCATCTGGTTCTCTTCTGCTCCAGTTTCAACTCCAGAATGGGTGTCACTTCCCTGAAGGATCAGGTCCATGACTTGGGAATTTTATTGGACTCACAGCTACTGCAGAATGTGCTGGTGGATGCTGTGGTCAGGGGAACCTTTGCCAAATTTTGACTGGTGTGCCAGTTGCACCCTGACCTGGAGTAGACAGCCCTGGCAACCATGATTGACACACCGACAATCCCCAGACGACATTACATTAATGCACTTCATTTACATGGGGTGGCCTTTGAACCACAATTGGTGTCCAATGACAGCTGTTATGGCCATATAACCCATGTGTCACAGACACAGCATTGGCTTTTGTGTACAATTCAAAGTGTTTTATCCTTTAAAGCCGCATGTGGCTTGGATCCTAGGTACCTTTAGACCAGCTGATCCCAAGTAGGGAGCCTCAGCTCATCATGTGAAATGGGTGGGGCTCCAGAGGCCACAACTTTCCTCGATGGCCACTACTTTGAAGAACAGCATTTCCCCAGAGGGTCACACCGACTTGGGCATCTTCCAGAAAGGTCATCAGCTTTAGTCTCTAGCAGTGATAGGCTCGGCACCATTGATTTGATGATTAGCATAATGAAGCTCAAGCTCAGATATTTTGGTCACCTAATGCGAAGAGAGATCTCTTTGGAGAAGA